GGACAGGTAACATTTTGCATAATTAAGTGCTATACCTGCGAGACCATAAATAGTATACCATTCAGTATACCATGATATCCATTCCTCTAAAATGAAATTCAGCATTGCATACTTATATCAGCATCTTTGCAGTTGGCTGATAACACGGCTATCCAAGGATTCGTGCCACTCTGCTATGACACGGATAAATTTAGCTCATTGAGCTTTGCCATGCCTCTCATTTGACCATGCAACATGATAGGATGGCATCCTTACACTTTGGCGCCTGGTAGCATGGTTTAAACCACTTAATAGGTCAGATAAAACACAAGGAAATGCCTCGTAGCCAGATGAAGTATAAACAATCATTGTTACATGCTGGGCAATTCTCTTTAGCAAGTGATTATGATCTGCACAACAACAAACAACAACAACAACAACAACACTTTATTCACATTTCCATTACAGGGTTTGTCAAACTTATTGAATAATTAGTAACTTAACACGTAGAATATTTAATTACAATTTAAACTAAATATTATTACATAGAAGGAAATGGGTGTATGATTTAACTAATAAGCGTCTTGAACAGGGTGTCTTTTTAGACCCAAAGCCTTAAAAAGGGTGTGAATTTTGGCTGTGTGCGGGCTACATGTGTGACAAAGTTTTTTAAAATAACATACTTTTGTTCTGTCAGTAATCTTGTGTATTGTATGTGACTCCAAAACGAATTAAATAAATATACTTTTCCCCATTTTGTATTTTATTTTATATTATCTAAAGAGAAAATACCTCCTTAAAGGGACATAGTCAGCTGATGCACATGCGCATTAGATACCATATCTTACCATATCTGATTTTCATGTCACAAGACGCTTGTGAAACAATAGCGTATCTGGAATACTCTAAACATACAGCGTAGAGTCGAACTAGTTACGAGCTGAAATCGTGATTATAGGCCCTAAGTCATATCAGAGCACTCACTTTTTTTATATACCATAGAGAATTCATCGATGGATTTTCCAGGGAAAGCCAAACATCGACGAACTGTACTTCCAAATTCAAACATCAGTAGAGGTGAGAAATTGCACGAAGTCTGAATGGTTGTCGAAAGTTCACGGTTGAGAAAGCTTGATTTTCCAAATATATGAAACCTTTTCCATGGATTTTCCAAATATATATAGCGATTATTTGCTCGCAAATGTTACTGATTCATTTCTCTTGTTATTTTGGTAAAGAAGGCGATTTCTCCCACCTGGCACCTACGCATTTCTCACCTCTTCTGCTTATGTTCCTTTAAATACTGTTTTTAACCAAATATGATAAAATAATGTAACAGGATTAGTAAACGTCTGCTCAAAACGAGATTTTCAGTACAAGATCGAGGATCAGATGAAACACTAGGCAGGATTAAAGCGGATTTCTAGATGGACCTGATGCGTAGTTTTGATTTCGGGTTGAGGTAAACGCTTTTCAAACTGGCAAAAATAGTGTCCAGGTCAGCATGGTCACATAGGTGACTGTGTCCCTTTAAACAGGGCGTTTGGCCTACAGTCTTAAACAGGGTCATGAAAAGTAGTCTCTTGTCTTAAACAGGGTAGAAAAGTGAACAGATTTTGTCTTAAACGGGGTCAGGGTTTGAAGGCCTTGGCGGCTCACCTACACCCAAACTGCCCTCAAGTGTCCTCCCCGCATGTAAGATCTGCTAACTACAAAAAAGTCACGATTACAAGAATAACAAGTAGTTCAAATTTAATGTTTATTGATTTTTCTTCTTTTCTGTTTACAGCACACATTTCATGCATCTATTTTCATCTTTGACTGGTGTCGAACCTGCAAGATTGAAAGTTATACAACCCAGATTATCATTGTTCAATTATTTTCAGTTGAAATTTATTTTATTTTTTTTAACATAGCTGTAGCCATGAGATCTCAGCGAGTATTATTTTTGACTGATTTTGGTATGTTTTGTAGCATTAATAGAACAAAATAATTTTTTCGTTCTTTGAAAATAAATAAAGAATTTGATCTTACAAAGCTTAATTAGTAACTTTTCGAGGATTCAATGTGGTCCTTCAATAAGCCTTTTTTATCATGTTTATATACATACTTTATAGTGTTACCACAATGATCAATTAGCATGCCAGGACTAACCATGATTTCAAGAGCATAACTCAAAGGAGCTCTAGTGCAACTATTCCTTACAGAGTGGATGCTTAAAAGTCCCCTTCTGTATTAATCGCAGTCTAGTGTAAATAATCAAGCCTTTTTGTTTCCCAAATAGCCAGAGACACTTCCATGTGCTTCTGTTAAATGAAAATCGAACTATGTTTGCTCCCATTATATTACATTTTTCTCCCCCCTTACTAACGTGGACGTCTATATATTCGTGTCCATCAACATCAGGTAACCATGCTCTAATCACTTCCATCACTCGTTCCTCCACCCCTCGTGGTACCCACAGCAGCCATGTACATGGGATAAACGTTCTGCTTCACAATGAAGCGTTTGCTATGTTGCTTCCATCACTTACGAGCCATGCCAGTGAAGCAATGACCTCTGCGATCAGTCCTGAATATTTGAATGATACCTTGCAATTAATAATACTCTTATTTTCTTAAATCAATGTTTTCTTTAAAATAATGTGAAACTATGAGTACTGTAAGTTTAGGATAAATAGAAAGCGAAGTCAAGGAAACGATCTTCTGTCTGCCTCCGTCTGCCATTTTGAAAAATTTTTGGTCATTTTTTGATGTTTTGTTGATATCTGAACCAAGACAAAAGAGCGCCTTCTCATTGGTTAAGCAGTGTCGTGTGACCACTTGGCCCTGTCCTTAAATTTAGGGATATTCCGGGCTGTTAATGACAAGTTGCTACCTGACAGCTTCTTTTTTCTTGATTTTGGTTCATCACATTTTGCAGTAGCCTAATGGAAACGAAATAAAACTTATGTTAGTTGCTCTAATGATTGAAGTTGTCAAGATTACTGTGTTTAATTGCCATTAAAAAGCAACAGCAATAACTCCTATTTATTTTAGGTCGGGAGCAGGGTTGCCGTATTGGAGAGAGTATTCAGTTTCTACCAATGTGGCCCAGAATCTTCCAGACGGAACACCGTGTGTGGGTTGAGTTTGTTGGGTCTGTACTTTGCTCCGAGAGTTTTTTAATATGATTTAATTTCCTTTCCTTTAATTTGGTTTGTTTGGATTTTTATTCTCCCTCATTTGCAGAGCACAGATGCTCGGTGAAATAACCATAAGATTTCATAGGTCTTCATTATCATTATTATTATTATTGTTATTATTGTTAGTTAAGGGCACTGACAGCTTTTTTATTGTCATATTTATACTAAATCACAAAAATGTACCTTTCATAAAACACTGTAGTGCTCTGTATAAGTACTGACCTTTCAAATCAATGCCACTGTCATTTATTTCCATTGTTTCTGGGACATCAGATGGTACCAATTCCACCCAACCTACTCTTATTGGTTTTTCTGCCTGGTCTGCTCTCACCGATGATGTTTCCATGTGGCAAGCTGTCACTGGTGGTTTCCATCTGACCTGCTCTCAGTGTTGACGTTTCCATCCAACGTGCTCTCACTGGTGATGTTTCTGTCTGACCCGCTCTCACTGGTGATGTTTCCATCTGACCTGCTCTCGCTAGCAATTTATCTGTCTGACTTGCTCTCACTGGTGATGTTTTCGTCTGACCTGCTGCCACTGGTGATGTTTCTGTCTGACCTGCTCTCAGTGTTGATGTTTTCGTCCAACCTGCTGTCACTGGTAATTTATCTGTCCGCCCCTGCTCTCACTGGCGATGTTTCCTTCTGACCTGCTCTCAATGGTGATGTTTCTGCCTAACCTGCTGTCACTAGTGATGTTTCCGCCTAACCTGCTTTCACTGGTGATGTTTCCGCCTAACCTGCTGTCACTTGTGATGTTTCTATCTGACCTGCTCTCACTAGTGATGTTTCCACCTGAACTGCTGTCACTGGTGATGTTTCTGTCTGACCTGCTCTCACTGGCGACATTTCTTTCTGATCTTCTGTCACATTTCTAGTTAACAATGACCTGAACCGACCAATTGAAGTAACAGACATTTTGTTGTCAAGAATGGGGTACTGCTCTTGCATTTAAGGCATCGTCAACAAGGTTGAACAACCTTCTTGCCGGTGTTGTGTTTGGTGAGCCTTTTGTCCAGGCTGAGTGGCCAGCGTTTCAGACTCACAGTTGGCACTCCAGGTTTGAATCCTGCTATGGACCTACTTGCCTGTTTTGACCTTGTTGCCTCTTGCCAGGTGGGGGTTTTCATTCTGTTATGTTCCATTTGGATTATTTGTTTCAAATGAGTTAGGTGGATGCCTGTAAACTATTTTTGTCAACATATTGTTTTATTTGCCTGTAACACACATAACATAAACATGGAATATTCTTAAATACAACAGAGACAAATCAGTAACAAAAGAAAACAAAAAAATGACAAATAGTCAGGTAGCTGCAAAATACAAGAGGGAAAAGCTGTTATTATTACAAGAGAGATATTGCGTCAGGAATTGAAGACAATTTGGTCTTTTCGAATGATTTTAATATTTCTCTTCTTTTGTCATTGTTAATCAGATCTTTGACGTTAAAAGACAGTTATTTTTTTATCTAGTATTCAAAACAAAGACTAAACCCAGATTCTGGAAAACATTCATCAGCAGAATTGTTGGACCTCAAATTTATTTCCTGGTTTGTTATTCAATTTCTTTAAAAAAAGACTTCTCATACCTGTTTGGCATGAAATTCACCGCTGGAAAATTCCACCGGCGACATCAGAACAAATGACCAATAGGACAGTGAGGATTTTAGTATGATTAGAAGGCAGTATTTTAGAGTAATGGTAGATGTTGAGGAGAATTTAGACTGTGGTCTTCGAAACTTGTGATACAGCGAGTTTAACAAGAAGGCCAAAGAAAAGTTGTCAAGGCATATATCAGTGGGAAGGACATATATTTTGCTTCTCCAACGTGATCAGGCAAATCACTTTGTTTTAAGATTGCCTCGTTTGTATTCGAGGGATTTGCTGTGGGAGTAGAGAATGCTGAGAAACCTTCAAGTATATCTTCTGATAAAAAGGGGCTGGGTAGGCAAGACACGTGCAACACCTCGTGCCATAAAGCTGCTGAAATGTTTTCTCCTCCAGTTATATTATGCTGTGGAGGGTTTACGTTTGGATTGAGCAAATGTGATTTTTGCTGCTTATTTCATACTGAGAGGTCGCAACACGCATTTTGTCTTTGTTATTGATTTTCTGTGGTTATTCTTTCTGGTCTCTCTATAGACATGATTTGCCATCTGATGTGAGCAGCATTTTCTTTGACCTCTTGTAAGGCCCTTCATTGTGGCTAAATAAGGGTCTTAGGTTGTTTAATACCCCCTCCAAATGCCTCCTCTGAATAACTAAGAGCGGTTTTCTTTTGCCCACGAATGTGATGGTTTCCTCCAATGTTTTGTCATCCTGGGCCCAGCTTGTTCATAGCGGTTTTGGCGGGATTAATAGGATCGTTTATCGCTCTAGAAAATACAAGACTCTTCTCTTTGCAGTCTTTACAAAGCCATCATTTGCGCTTGACTATTTCATTTCTCCAACCTCGCTTAGTTACAGTTTCATCCCGCTCTCTTGTCAAGTGAACTTTGGTACCAATATACTTTTGTGAGTAAGATCAAGTTTTTTTAGAGATGTAATGTTCTTTTAACAACAATTATGGCAAATAATGTCGGAAAAGTAAAAAAAAATTTAGCACACAAGAGTCTCTTGAACCGAGAGTGTCTTCACACCACTGTCATAAAGCCTTCTTCACTTGTCTGCGTTGTCAATATGCTCTCCACACTAAACAAATCGAGTTTGTTGCCAAGGATGCGAATACTTAAAGTTTTAATTGTAAATGTTTGTTTTCACTACAAAATGTTAAACGGGTATGTCCAATGTTCTCTTTGACAATGATTTTCCAAAGTCGCAGTTTCTTCTGAGTAGCCATGCCTTTAGGTTCCAAGTCAGGCCTTCTGGTTAGTTTCCAGTTTCCCATTCAAATTCACAGAAACTCCGTGACAGAGTTCGTCAGTTTTGGGGTCACTATAGGAAATGACATTGTGGGAGCAGAACCCGTCACCTCCTTTTGTTGACTGCCCATAGTTTGTTTGTTGTGGTGAAGACAACAGCATGTGTTCGATATTTGATGCCACTCCCGAGATAGCATATGTCGATCATTTTCCCTCATGAATTTTTTAATATGACTCAAACCAATTCAGGTGAAACCAGTTGATTTCGCGACTTTGTTCTTTGCTCGGTCACTGCACGACCTCTTTGAAGATAGCTTTGCTCACTCACAACTTATAACTTACGAGAGGTTGACTTGTAGCAAGTCTATGTACATCCTTGCTTTCTTGAATGTGGTAGGGGAAACTCTTTAACATGCGGCCTTAAATCATGGCAGTTTTCAGTGCCAAAACTGTCGAATTCAATTCCTGATTTATATAGATCTATACGATCTTTCAGGGCTTTTAGAAATAGTATTAGAAAACTGGACCCGTCAGGTTCACTAAACTAACCTACTACTCTACTACCAGTCTTTTTCATACTTGTTAATAGTTTTAGCTTTATCTTATTTGTGAAATTTTCTAGTGTTATGTAAATAATTTTTACATTTTATCTTGTCAATTAGCTATTTTGTGCGTACCTCAGTTATAATTATCTATTCATTTTTTTATTTTTTTTCAATGTATAATACCTGCAAAGTAGCCAGTGAAGTTTCTTCCCAATAGCTAAGCGTGTTGTATACAATAAACTTCACTTGACTTGACTTCCTCTATGAAATAATTTAATAATAAACTGTCCTTCTTGCTCTTGGTATCAGGCAATTGGTGGGCGATTAAAATGCCTTCCCATGACAACTGTGAAGCTGACAACCTGGCCTAAAACTTGTGTAACTCGGTAGGAGAACTCAATGAAAAAACTGGAATTTCCGAGATTTTAAGAACTCGAGTACTGCTGGATTAGGTCTAAGGCTACTTCTTCATCGAACACTAAGTGGTGAAAATGGTTCTTGGGATTTGTACCAATCGTTCAAGTCATTTAACTGTTTTTTGGTCGATTGCATTGTTTTCAAGACAAAATCGCATTTATCACTGACCGTTTGCTGTGCTGAACCGATCGAGTCTAGCCCCTGATTTGGATATACATGTTGTATCCACTGTTGAAGAGAAGTCTCACACAAGTTTTGGAACTCTTGGTTTATTCTGTACTGTCTAGACTAATTAGTTCTGTACACTGAAGTTCTATTCTCTTTCGCTATGCTCAGCCAAATAGAAAATACTTCTGTTATGACGGGACAAAAAAACACAATGATAAATGGAGGGAGTCACCAGCAATCGAGTTTATCATATATACCAATAAAAGTTGCAACAACAGCAGGAAAATATAAGGGATATATGCGAAAAATAAAGATACAGAGCTCAAAGAATAGCTAGATTTATGATATATTATAAGCGCTGACAAAATATGCTGGGCAGAAAATTAACAAAGTAAACGGAGTCAGAACATTTTAAATAAGTGATACAAAAGTGCAAGTACAAGTTTAACGCAGATATACCTATAAACCTAATGAATAACAACATGAAAAAAGACAGCCTCGAGTAAACTGTTTGGCGTCAGGTGGTTGAAATTCATAAGGAGTGACTTGTAGAGGGACTAATGATCCCAATGGCAACTGAACTAAACAATGTAATCAATAACTAAGAGAAATACGTTTTGACTGATTCTAAAAACCTGGTGTGGCATTCTCTTTTAGTTCGTCTCATAAATTGTTGTCGTATCTGTCCTATTTATACCTAACAATGTTCTCAAGAGAGATAGTAAGCACTTCTGTTCACTCTAACTTGTGCTGTACACTCTAAATTGTGCGCAATGCAAAACACTCTCGCCGGTGAGTAGCATAGTAGGGATAAAATTAACCCCTTTTGTGCAGAGTTAATATAAACTTTTGTGTGGAATAATTAATGTCGATAACATCATAGCCTTTTGTCTTCAGCTCGTGAGTAAAATGCAGTGGATTCTCATTAATTTCCATTTGTCAGAAGTGACTGGCCAGGCTCTACCCGTCATAATGAAAATTTCACTATTAATCAAAACTTTCCAGCCAAATCAGTCATATGCTAAATAGTGTACAGGAAGGACATGGTTTTTGCAGTAACAACCCTTTGAAAAAGGCGATTTCATTTGGTGAGTGGTCCGGGCAGCCCGTTCTGACAAATGGAAAGTGTCCTGAGATAAGATCAGGTACAACTTTAAGTGGTTTAACCAGTTTGACAGGTTTTGTAGTTGTTTTGAGGTCGATGAATTGCTGACTAGAAACTAAAAGAAGCCATTCCTTGGATAATTCTTGGTTTAAAAGGAATAAGCCGTCCTATTTGTCCATTGTAGACGACTTATTGTTTTGGTTTCGGTTCACTGGTTCTTGGCACACAAATTGTCATATTAATGTGGACGAAAGCAAAGTAACTCTTTACTGCATGCAGAACAATTTCTTACTTTTCCTCCACCACTTCCACATTACTTTTGGAGCAGGCTTGGTTTGTTTTTTATCTGTGCCAGCTCTTCCCTTTTCTGGCATAACATAAAATACATAACATACATGTTTATTCAAACTCATATATAACTACATAAATTTGAAAGGGAGAGTCTAGAGGTTAACCCTATGAATAAAACTCTCCTAAAAACAACAAACAAACAATAAAAATTACAACTTTAAAAAGGATTTGAGTTTACATTTAAAAAGTTCAAGGGTACCGGCTTCAACAACATTACTAGGTAAATTGTTCCAATAACTAATTACATTGTTAAAAAAAGAATATTTAAAACAGTTGATTCTAGATAATTTACAATAAAGCTTATACGAGTGATTTGCCCTAGTGGATTTGACTTTTGCGAATTGAAAGAATTCCTCAAAATCCAAGTGTGATAAGCCAAACACGATCTTATAACATTCAACAAGAGAGGAATATGTCCTACGACTGGACAAAGATGGCCAATGTAACGTGTCACAACGCTCTTCATAAGACATATCACCTCTTTTTTGCCTAAGAGCTAATCTTGACGCGCGTCTTTGCACGCTCTCTATTGCATGAATATCTTTGACAAGATATGGGTTCCAGACTGGAGCAGCATACTCTAGAAGTGGTCTGACCAATGTTTTGTAAAGCAATGAAAAAGTTGTTGTATTAGCTGTTCCAACAGACCGTCTTATTAGCCCTAGGACTTGGTTCGCCTTATTCACCATAGTACTAATATGTTCACTCCAAGTAAGATCTTTTGATATAATAATTCCAAGATCTTTAAAGCTCTTGACATCTTTTAAGGCCGTACCTAGTTTATAATTCGTAGTCAATTTGTCACGAGAATGCGTTATTCACATTGCTTCACACTTTTCCTCATTGAAACGAAGTTGCCATTTTTTCGCCCATTTACCAAGATTATTCAAATCAGTTTGAAGGTATTGTTCATCGAGACTAGGGTTGCGAAGCTCTCTGTAAATCTTTGTGTCATCCGCAAATAATTTAATTTTTGAAGAGACACTATCAACGATATCATTTATATATGATAGGAATAAAATTGGACCAAGAATAGTTCCCTGTGGGGTACTAGATATCACAGGTGCCCAATCAGAAAAAGTCCCTCTTACAACAACTCGTTGCTTTCTACACGTGAGGAAATGCCTCAACCAGTTAAGAAGTTTGCTCTCGATACCGAGGCTATATACCTTTATGAGTAGACGCTCATGAGGAACACTATCAAAAGCCTGTGCGAGATCAAGAAATACAACATCTGTTGCTACAGATGAATTCCTAGATCTGGCGAAGTCATGAAAAGTAGAGAGTAATTGGGTCACGGTAGACCTACCCTGCAAAAAACCAAATTGGTTTTTGTTTATCACGTTTTGGTCTTGCAAAAATGACGTTAACCTATCGCGTACAATTTTTTCGCTGATTTTGCATATCATGGATGTAAGCGAAATTGGACGATAATTCTCCCTCAAGTGTTTAGAACCTTTCTTATGAAGTGGGACAATGTCAGCTGATCTCCAATCTTCGGGCAAATGGCCCAGCAGGAAAGATTTGTTGACCAGAAATGAGATCGAGGGCGCCAATTCGAGCGCACATGATTTTAAAATTACTGGTGAAATTCTATCTGGACCCGGGGACTTGTTCGTTTTAACAGACTTAAGATGCTTTAAAATTTCCTCAGTAGTACAGGAAATATAATTAAGTTTCTCACAAACTAAAGGTTGTAAAGAAGGCAAGTTGGTGAAGTCCTCAGAGGTAAAAACAGATGAAAAATAGGAATTAAAACTACTAGCAATACTCTCATCGTCAATCAGTTATGTAGGCCTTAACGTTCTTTGCAGGGCCAAACTGCATAGTTTGGTGCACTTGGTTGCACTAACTCCCATCCTAAATGCGATAGTTCGAATTCTTACACACCCCCTTATTGCTCTGGAAAGACTCTAGAATATGCTCATTGGTAAAGGTGGGTGCTAGGGGTCTTTGTAGTAGTGTACACTAGGGCACATTGGTTGATTGTCTGGCAGTAGGTAATTGTTCGAGTTTCCCCTGTACTATTTCCGGAACTTCATTGGCCAACCAGGAAAGGTAGTTGGACAATTTGGCATTTTTTATTTATGTAGGTAACTACATCAAAAGTGTTTTCTTAGTTTGGACTTTCAAGAATTATATGCAGATTGTCAAATGCAAGAGATTAAAATATGACTGCACGGGTATAACTGGTTGCTGTTGTTGTCAGAGTAATGAAAGGGCACCTTGTTTTTTTTTTTTGGCGGCCAAAGCAATGAAAGGGCACCTTGTTGTTGTTTTTTTTTTGGCCCCCAAGAACAAACTGCTAAGAAGTCAGAAACAACATCACTACCGTATTGAGGGGAAACCAGTCTGCCAAAATGGTCGAGGTGTCCAATCTTGCCCACCAACAGAGGAGGCAGTCAACAACGCAACTAAATCAATAGGTTAGGAAAGCAAGACAACACTGTTCACTTGGGAGGTTAAAGAAAATCCATGGTAACACGGCTCAAGCTCTAACCTCATATAATGATGGAGGTCAAGAAGAAAAGACCACTTGGCTGGATGGTCTATGTCACTATAAACATACTTGACAAAACGGTCACATTTGAAGTTTGGTTCGTTTTCCTGATCACCACTTTTGTGTCCTTATGAATCCGTTTATTGAATATAACAATCTCGGTGATACAAGCAGAATGAGATAAACTTGATTAAGCTATTCTTAAATGCTGTAATAAAATGCCCATCTTTCCAATGTAATTCAGTCAATCAATTTGTTTCATCTTCAAAACTAAGAGTTCATTGTCCACTTCTATAATCTCAGTTGCCCAGTTAATGACTCGATATGACATTGCCTCATCAGTAAAAACAGTATACGACATACGATCGCAGTGATCGCTTACTTGGTCTTGTAGATTCTTCGATTCATATCACTGATTTCATTCAATTGAGCCTTTGAAGGCATTTTTGCCTTTACTGCGGTGAACATGCAACTGGATGCTTCATCGGCGCTTTGCGTTGACCAGAGTGGTTAGTTTCGGTTCATCAGCAACTGTGATTAACCCGCATGCTTCATATTTTTCCCCTTGTTGCTCTCTTGGAGAGCAATCACCAGTAGTTAGGGCTTCATGAACTAATTGCAGGGTTGGGTCCAATTCAGACTCTCTCTCCACTTGGCGGGGTAATAAAGCAGCAGGTATAGCATCAGTAACTACTGTGAGGGCGCAGTCTTCTGTCTGCCTGAGAAACTCTTTAGCCACTTCACCTAGTTGCAGTCTTTTCAGTGCATCAGCAGGATTTTCTTTGCCATGGATGGGCCTAATGGTGTATTTGAATTGCTGCATTTATAACAGCCGTCTCTCTATTCTTGGCGAGGATGGCTGTTGCCATACAATGAATCTTTGTACATCTGTAATCTTTCTTCACTGCTTCTTGTTGATGATGGAAATTGCAACAACTGCTCTACATACTCCTTAAAGCTGGACTCACCAAGCTCCTCTGGTCCTAACTCTTTCACTGTAAAGTTGTTCCAGCTTCTTGATTTTAAAAATGCTTTGTTGCAGTAGGATTCGGCTGCAGCAGATGCTGGAGCTGATGTTTGGAATTCATTGTCAGGGTCTTGTACAGGATCTGCTGGAGCCGACGTTTGGAAGTCATCGTCAGGGTCTCGTACAAGATCTGCTGGAGTCGATGTTTGGTATTCATCGTCAGGGTCTTGTACAAGATCTGCTGGAACCGATGAAATTTGTATGTTGATTACTCATTACTAACTAACCACAAATAAAGGAGTCTGCCAAGCATTTCTGTTCTAATATCTGCTGGCAGAAGTCATAGGCCTTGGGGTAAGTTCTTCTTTCAGGAGTTATTGCCACTTCATACACATTTGGTTTAGTTGGATCTTGGCTCGAACTTTTCACAATCTGTATAATTGTATCCTCTGGAACATAAAATAAAAGCAAAATAAACTATGTTGTCAATGTTATTTACTGACTTTGGAAAATAGCCATAAGACTTCATGATAGCTTCCACATTTTAACCTTTCATTGTGTCTGGGTTTATAAATGCTTTATTCTCCCATCAAACCCTTTGGAAGTACTAGTAACAATGTGTGGCAATATGGCCTTGGTTGGCATTATGCATGTGTCGCATTATGCACCCAGCATTCTTCGAACTTTGCCACATTTTGGTGGACTGGTGGCACCTTATGACAACTGATTCAATAACAACTTGGAAATGCAATAAATACGAGAAAATCAATCGATTTAGAACTTTTTAGTGTGTAAGTAAAATAAGATATCATTAGTACGGAATAATCAAGTACTTATGAAAAATATTTCCAAGGTGACGAGTAAAGTTTTCTGCATCTTCTTCGAGTTGTTCATTTGTAGATACTTCTAAGGCAGAAAATGGCTTGAACATTGGTTTTTGGAAAAATCCACTGGAAACGTGAGGCCAGGCCCTTGTCAACATTGCTTTTATCCACAATCTATGGTACTGCAGTAGTAAATAGGATAAAGGTTTTTCAAAGGAATCTGCTTGTATTACAGTATTAAGTATGGGGAAATAAGTTCAGTATGCTTACGTATAAAACAACTTCATGTTTAAAAACTGACATACCAGTCAGCAATTCAGATACATATAGATGGTGAGAATTTATTCCCGTTGTCAAGTGTTTCCACAAAAAGGAAAGGCACCTCAGTTTCCTGTTGCAATATGTTTATACATGACTGTGGTTTTTCACATTATTAACAAACTAACACCACTGAATTTTAGTTATAATGTGACTCAAAAGACACTGAGAGGTAAAAAAAATATATGCAGTATATTTCTTAAAATTTGGTTGTCAGTGATCTCTATCAAGGAACAAAAGGATAGAATTTGTAGCCGTCTAGTGATACAATCATTTTATAATTCTCGGAATGTAAGGAATTGATGGATTGGTTTTTATGAATTCAAAGTCAATATTCAAACTTACGTGGATATCTACCTTTTTGATGCAACCAAGACGTTGCACTAAAGAGTTCAAACAGCTTCATGAATTTGTGCGTGTCTAGTAGACCCTTCATGCCACTGTACAAGTTGACTTGTGACAGCCAGTTGGTTTGTTCATCGTATAATCCGAGCATTTTCAGTCATTTTGTCACATTATTTCTCCTAGTTTCTCAAGCGTCTGGTCACTCAGCAGCCATTCTTTTACCTCAATCTCCTTCATCGCTATTAAACTTGGAGTGGACATTCACCGATATATTGACAAGATATTTGTGCACTGTGGATTTCCCAGTACCTTGAAGACATAATTTAAAGATTTTTATTATGCTGCAAAGTGTCATTTCCAGTTTGCATGTAGGCTGATAAAAAATGGTATCTGATGCGCATGTGTGCGAGGTAAGAATTATTTGGCCAGTCTCTAACCCAGTGCTTACGAGTCGTCAGTGACAAAATTAGACCAGCGACCTCGTGACTAATTCAGGTCAAAATCAAACAAAACTTGCCCTCAATTATCGTTAAGCTATAAATGAAATGTTTAGCAGCTGCGTTTTACTGACAAAACTTTGCTATTGTCTGGGTGACGATACAAATTTGCATTGAAACTATTTACAAGGCAGGGATGGCACGAGGATTTTTTAATCTGGGTCCTGGGACCCGCATGTCTGGTCAAATTGGGATTGTCCCTCATATACCGAGAGCTGAAGTAGTTAATCATCACACAGTGGGTCCCAAAATCTTGGTGACCCTCCCCTAAGAAAATCTTTTTGTTGTTGTTATGAGAAAGGGTGACTGGCAAATTACTGTCATACTGTTAACAAAGCTTTATTGTCTTTTTTTTTTTTTGCTTGAACACATTAACAATACAATGTATTCGTAATTGTATTTACCCAACCTTATCATTACAATTAAAGTATTGACAACTCAACTTTAGACCGTCTCATTAATTTTTGAGAGAATGAGATAAACCAAGAGAGAATGAACTAGCTCGTACTCTCTTGGATTAACAGAATAGCATACCGTGTGGAATGAAATTTTTGCGGGTTCTAATATTTGCGATTTTTCCAGCGATCTGCAAAAATAAGTTCCTGCAAATAAAAATTACCGCAAACATGTTTCCCGCAAAAATTTACTCCAGAGTAAATATTCTCTGACTTAAATTCGCTACACAAAATACAATACTAAGAAATAGTGTCTGTTCAATCACAACTCGTCTTTTTCATTCAGAAACAACGAAATACTGGTTTATTGCTTGAAAATATGTATTTCTATTGCACGTATTCAATAAAAAACCAAAATATTATCAATGCTGGGTACTGGATACTTTCTAAAAATCTCAAAAATTAATTCCCAGCAAGAAAAGCCAATGTCTCCTAATCACAAAAATCAGTTCCCGCAAAACAAAAAATCGCCAACCCGCAAAAATAAACTCCCGCAAAAATTTTGTGCTACTCGGTAGTCAATGTCAAGCAGCCATTTGTCTAAAAACTGATTGTCTTCCTCCCTTTTCACGGTTCATCATATTACAGGTACATGTAAGTGGGCACTCAACCAGCACAGTCAATCAAACAACAAACATGGCGGGAGCTCATTCAAGTTTCCCGGATGTGTAAATCGTCTCCAGTCCCCTTTGCGTAGTTAAATCCAATATGGCAGCCACCATGTGAATTCACTTTGTTCAAAAATTTTTTACGTCACGCAAACAACAAAATCTATTCAAGATTCAAAGTAAGTGGAGTGAGTTCTTCAAGTCAACATCTTGTGTCCTGGGATGTATTAAAATTTTGATGATGCATTTTTTGCATTTTGTTTGCATAAAAATGCACGATTTCTGCGTTAACACAATCTCTGCAAGGTTTGCGTTATTTAGGTCATACAACTGATAATGCGCGCGAAATTTGTCACTGAAGTTTTCTTTACATATGTGTACTGTTATGCTGTGTTCTCTTCATTTACAAAGGGCTTCGCACTTTCATGTGATTGGCGAACAATGATAGTCCATGAAATATATTTCAAAATGATTGCGACGTGTGTACCAGCTACCTTTCTTTTCTTGCAAGAAAAGCAAAGTTCAGGTGCACAGAAGACTGAAGTCATAAAAACCACAGAATATTTCCAATGGAAAGTAATATCACCCCTGGCAACAGCAAAGTTTTGACGAGAAAACTTTTAATCTTTCCGTGTGTCATACTTAACTGATTATAGTGACTATAGTGTTTATTTTTAAACAAATGGTGGTTGTATAACTTTTGTGCTGGAGTATCAGAAGTTTCGTTTCAAGGATCGTTTATAAGGATAGGGGGATTTGTATTTGGGTGGATTTCGTATTGGAATATGCTTGATGATTAAGACTCGTGGGAAGTTTTGTAGCTAGGTTTTACCGTTAATAATTTGCTGTTTTCAAGAGTGACGATTCTAATTTCTATTGAAACTATGGAAAAAGGTTTGTGTTCTCAACTCATTGACCAGAATGTAGTGTTTTCCAACAATTTCCTGAGGTGGAGACTCTATTTCTAAAAAGTCTAAGCACGAGACTCCAAGCGCCCAAAATATTCTAAATGAAACGACCGTAAACACCAAATGAAAATATATATACTGCTTGTTTTCTTAAGTGTCTTCATCTACCAGCTCAGTTAGATTAACTGTCACATTAACTTTAAAAATATCCTTCCTGTGTACCGCGATGAGAGAGAAAAGCACAAATCCAAAATGATGAGATGCAAAAAACATCCGAATTTGAGATGGCACAAAACGTTTACGAGATTCACCGGTCTTAATTGATTCATTTAACAAACAGCTAGGCATTATTTTATGTAAAACGGTCTTAAAGGAATACATAACAATTATTCACCAAAGTGGAGGTGGCTAGTACTGGATATTTACCAAGGCCGCGAAGCGGCGAGGTAAATATCCACTCCTAGCCACCGACACTGAGCTGAATCATTGTTTAAGTATATACCAAAACAGTGAGATAATTGAGCACAAAAATAATGATTTTTAACACATTTACTGTTGCCAACAATTACAATTTTGGCATGCGATGACCGAATGGCAGCGGTCGTCGCTTTTTCTTGGCGACAAATAAAACTTTTGAAGGCTTTTGTTTAGCTCTTGCGGGGAAGTTTCTTCAAAAGGAGTTGTGAATTCTTTTTGTATTTTAAATCATTCTGTAAAAAAGATTATTAAATTTAGTTTTAAGCTTATTTATGAACAAGTCAACTAAATAAAGTAACGCAAGACTTAAGATTAATTTGCATTTGTAAACAAAAAACTTTTTCACCGGTTTTATCAATAAATTCAGGTCAAAAAGACAAAGCTTTACCTGTTAAAACTTCCAAACTGAACTTCGTCACCTTCTTCATGTATTTTGGGAATAGCTTGCTTGATTAGTTGTGAAATTTCTTAGTTTGTTACGGCAGCAAACCGGGGAACCATTTTACTCGCAACTTACGTGAGTTTGGCGTCGCTCGCACGGAGGAACTGGAGGTGAATCAGTGAATAGTGCAGGATATTCACTGATTGAGTAGCCAATCAGAGCGCACGAAAAACACTATCCACTGTTTTAGTATATACTAAACTAAAATAAGCACCACGTTGCATTGAAAAGATTGCTACGAGATACATCTGAAACTAGAATTGTCTTACCAGTTGGCATAGCAAGCCATAGCACTCCTGGCTCCTTCCATAGGGTGTCGGGCACTTGTACTTCAGCGTGGGCTATGGCAAACGACAGAAGTCCTTGAATTGCGCAGAGCATGGTTAAGGTGGGATGCTGAGCAAGCTTGGAAGAGCCTTGCAACCCTAGCTGAAAAGAATCTGTCAGTCAACAAATGTTTTCCACCAGTGAACGTGAAAGGGATAGAAAGGTGTGGTAATCGTAATTTGTTGCAATGTTGTAATTTGTTGTACATGTGCCGGTTGTAATGTCCAGTCATCATGTCCAGTCTCATTTCCAGCATTTTTTAAATTGATCTTTTAGGTCTCCTTGAGCAGTTGTAGAGTAAGCCCTTGTTACAGTAGTAGCGTCGAAGTGCGTTTGGCGGTATACAGTGTACGTGGACGTTTTACATAGCGTAAATCTTTCATTATGCACAAAAGAAATATAAGTTGTCATGAGTGACGTATATTGGCGCTATTGCTTTTGTTTGTTCTAATTCTTTCATAATTTAGAGGTGACACTTGCAGTTATTAAATGTATTGAATACTTTAATTGTTTTCATAAATAATTCCCAATTGGACGTCAGTTGATTTTAATTACGGTTGTGTTGTTGTTAACTGATAGCATGCTTAATGGAATTACTTCTTTGTGAATTATAATCGCGATGGTGGTCTAGGAGGGAGAGGCTTTGAAACTTTGTTCAGGGGGGATGGAACCCGTCCCTATGACAAAAATGTCACTGTAGTAAATATCATAATAGCAGAAGTTTATTCTGAATCTGCAATATATGTGATCTGATAATTAAACAACGATGTTTTCCCAGCGATAACACAAATGATGAATAGCAAATGTTACAATCAGTAGAATCTATAACTATTTATTGATTAGGATCTGATGAAAAACCAAAGTTTGTAAAATAGATTGTGATTAATGTCACAGTTAATGTTAATGATATTTGTATAAGGAAGTTTGACACTTGACTTCCTAAAGTTCGAGTGAAGTTTCAGGCAGTTACCTACAAAGAGCCATGAAATCGAACCCTAAACTAAAATTGTGTAATTCTGTGTCATCTCCAATCTTCCTCGTCAATTTCGCCATTCAGTAACTGTTTAAACACGTCAGTGCTGTCTTGAATTGCTCGTTCTTCTTCTTGTGTCAAATTTCTTGATGGGTTGTGGATTGTGGTGCTTGCTTTTCTCGAGGAATGTTGCGTCTTGTAAAAAGATGCCTTCTCAGTGTTTAGCCACTCCACTATTGCCCTTTCTTCCTTGTCTCCATGAAACATTGTAGGCGGGACCACACTGTCTCTGACTTAAAATATGTTGTTTCAAAGTTTCTCTTTATGTAAGCCAGATTGTAGAAGTGTACTTGGCTGTCGCCATTGGAGAGTTCAATGTCCGTTGTGCGACAAATAAGGCTTGGTGATTGCTGATACTGAAGTTAAATTTGCTGAAACTGTTGTTTAGATACTTCATCGAAGGAGGTGTGTGTTTTCTGCAGATCGCGAAGAAAAGGTACTTGAAAGTGTTATCATGTTGCTACCCATTGGAAGATTGTTGAAAGTTAAAACCAAACAGTGAGCTCGTGGCGTCACTCAGAAATATACAAAAGTCTCCTAGGGCCTCGCCAAAAACGCCAGTCTCCATGGGGCCTCTTTTGGCATCCAATTCAAATCGCTAGAGGCTGGCAATTTTTGGTCATTTTCACCATTGCATGCATTTCTGAACATAAGTGTGTATGCAGAGATAAGGACTTTGACTTGGTCGCTTCCCACCGTTTATTTACATTCTCTGAGGTAGAACGTTGCGGGTTGAAGGGCTGGGACGCATTTGGTAATATTTTCAACAAGTTTCCAATGAAATAGCATTCATTTAATTTTTCGTATATTCAGACAGGAGATTACTGTAACTGTAGTTAGTTTCATGTGAGTAGTTTTGGAGGTCAACAGTATTTGAAGATGCAAAAGACGTGTACATGTCAGTATATATGCAAGCTCAGTAAGATATCTACTGGTCATGTTCATCATGGATGTATTATGTAAGCCTATCATGTACTGAGTTTCTCACAGCCAGATTCTTTGATACCTTCTACATCCAATGCATAATTTACTACAAATTACGTAGACAGCGTTTGAGAAGTATTATTCACTATTTATTTCATCGCAGACCCCTATAACAAGGTTTTATCAGCTTTTATTTACATTCAGTCAAACAATCTCGATGAAAAATTTTGGAGTAAACGAAATCGTAGACCAGAGAAGAGTATCTGTAACTACCTTGTGAAACTCTTTTGTACAATTGATACAATTTACGCAGAGTATACTGGATTATTTTTACAACTCTCTTGTGCTCTTGTGTTTCCTGCGGGGCGACACTTTGAAATGAGTCACACGCCGGGATTCGGCTGTTGATAATATAGTTTGACCACAATGCATGAGGGAAAGATGGAAATATCCTCCTTTTATTACTTTATGTTACATTGACAGACTTGACAAGAAGTGTAGGAGATTAAAAGATCCAAAACAATAGCAAGGCTTAAATATTGTTACGTGCATGCACTGAACCACAGCGCTATGAGAGGAAAAGATATTGGCATTAACTGAAATGATATGATATGTGCAAATTTAACCTGGTCTTTTTGGTCACGTGTTTTTATATTTTCCACATTCTGTTTCCCATCTTTTTTCTTTTTGTCTGCCTTGAACACAGCAGATTTTAAAATGTCTTGACCTTCCCCTCTCAAAGTCATAAACTCTTCAAGAGTGAAACTGCTGGAAGCCGAACTAGGAGATGGGCTAGATGCTGCATTTGCACATTGTATCGTGCACCACATGACCCACAGAATATAAAGCACTTGACACAATATTTCTCGCACCATAAACTGAACAAAACATCCTGAGAATAAAAGATTCTAAATGAGAAATGAACATTGGTCCCTTGACACCAATTTGGATTTGGGGGTGGGGGGTGCTTAATCCAACCTCGGCTACCTCTGACACCGTTGCTACCCAATAGCAACATATATCTATATCACCATTTAGTACCACCACCCAATTCTACGTTACAAACTGACAGGGAACTACCGTAAAATTCAAATAATGGCAGCAGTTAATGTTCCCAACCCTTGAGAAACAAACATGGTGATCGAGTTGTGGGGAAATGGAATTGGGAATGAAGTACTCCAATAACAGGCCAGTGTCACTAACCCAATACTAGTGTAGCTTGGTAAGAGGGGAGGGGTCACAACCCCTTCACCACCTCCCCTTTTCTCATTAGGGGTGCACTTCACGACCCCCTAAGAGAGGTCCTACTCCTCTTAAGGGCTGCAATCACAGCACCCTGCAAGAGGTCCTCACAACTCTTTTGGGCTGCCGCCAACAATACTCTAAAAGAGGTCCTTACTCCTCTCCAGGGCTGCTGGTCACAATACCCTGAGAGAGGTCCTTACTCCTCTTCAGGGCTGCAGGTCACAATACCCGGAAAGAGGTCCTTACTCAGGTTAGAGGGTTTAGCCTCGTGGTTACCATGGCAACCAACCCATTCTGTGAGTCTGTATGGGAGCACTTCATCCCTACAAATACACAGTGTATTGATGTGAAGTATATATGAACTAATTCATTTTTGAACTGCGGTTGTAGATGAAAGTGAAGAAAGATCATCGCAGTAAATTTTCCAATTTAAGCAATTGGAAAGAAGAAGCCTGAAAAAATCGGGGCTTCAACAGGTTTCGAACCCGTGACCTCCGTGTTACCGGTGCGTTGCTCTACCAACTGAGCTATGAAGCCACACATTGGGAGCGAGGTCAAATTATTGAGTTCATATCTCCCGTGAGGAGTGAAATGATGTGAAGTGTATATGAAATAATTCATTTTTGAACTGCGGTTGTAGATGAAAGTAAAGAAGGATCATCGAAGTAAATTTACTGCAATGATCTTCAATTATTTGACCTCCCTCCCAATGTGTGACATATAGCTCATAGCTCAGTTCCCCAAGCTTTCCGAACGACTCACGGAAAGCAACAGTGCCCTTTTGTCTGGGTTTCTTAGTTGTTGCCCTGTAATTTAAGAGAACATTGAATTTATCATCATGTTTACAGCACAAGTTTATCGAACACCTCCTAGGATAACAACAAGGGAGAAAAACAAACCTTTGGCCCGTCCATGTTTCTACAGTGTGCGATTCATCGACTATCAGTGCAGCAAGATTCTGGTGTAGAGGCGTGTTGCTCTTTTTGAGCCAACTGAGGAAAAGCTTCTCCAAAATTTCTTCTGCAGATCCAAAGATTAGCTGGTATTTGCCGTTCTCTACATCTTCTAAACTGGCGTCCGAAAGTGATGTGGCTGTTAAACCCATCGCAGTTGCTTTGGACAATTGATCGTGCACAATACTTTTTAGAGGGCAAACAACGATCACACATGCAGGTTTGCCTGTCAATATTTCTTTCACCCGCACCAACAACTGAAAGATGAGGCTTTTTCCAAAGCCTGTTGGAAGAACTGCTAATAAATCTTGCCTCGACAACAGCGTCGTGACCGCTTGCTTTTGTTCGGATTGCAATTTAAGCGATATTCCCAGTCCAGCGAGCGCCAAAAGAGCTTTCTCCAGGGCAGAATCGAAGTCTTCCAAATCCGCCATGTTTTAAAATTTCGGATGAATCAGACTAAAATACTCCTCGTAGGGCACCGTAAAAAATGTCCCCTTGATTGGCAGCTAGCAATCAAGCATCTGAAACTGCACCAATCAGAGTCCCCGTCGATCTGGTGTACGGGTTCGCCAAACGAACAATGGCTGCGGGCAGGCATATTTTTTCCTCCCCTCCCCTCCCTCTCCCCTATTTTAAACCCATCTACCTCTCCCTTAAAAACACTTTTTGACTCGTCCCAACTTTCTGGTAGTATTAACGTCCAAGATGGCGGGACAACGTCATTTCTGAAAACAATTCATGGATCCCGCTCCAAAATACGCCTGCTTTGCAGGCTAACACTCATTGAAATAATGGAGACCATTTGTGAAAAGGTGTTCAAGAGAGCTTTCAAGTCAAATGGCTGCTAAAATTCTTAAGCATGAGCGAGCTGAAAAATTTCTTTTTTAAAATCTCACAGTAAAAAATTAGAAGCCTCTTCTTTTAACAACATTAAATGAGTAGGGTTTTACTGCCTGATTAAGCTGCATTTTTGCATGGGCAGAATGCTTGTTATTTCAATAGAGCAAATCAAGGCTATTTTTTTAAATTCAGTTTTAAAAAAATTGCCTCTTAAATAGATAAACACGTAATGTTAAGCAGTTTATTGTTGTTCAACAAATGCCTTGAATTTGATTTTTTTTAACTCCATCCAAAATTCCCACGTGCACAAGCCAAGCTAAATCGTTGAAAATTCGCAGCATTTGCATATTACCACAGATCAAAACCTAACCTCAAATCACTGTCTTAAATTAAAAAGCCTAGGAGTCAGTGTTTTGAAATACAACGTTCTGCTGACATAGCATAGAAGCGTCAGCAACGTTTGCTCTCTAGGTTTCTAGGCTCGTTCCAAGTACATAATTTACTAGACTTGTTACATTAATGCACCGCAGGCTATGAAACATGGTCATGCATCATTCTTCTCTGAAGCAACCTTAATTGAAATAGGTGTATACATAAACATTTTGCCCATTCACACCTATTGATATATACTTATTAAATGCACTTTCAGTAAATTGTTAATCATTAAGATTTTGGAGAATCTCAAACATGAAGGTTCTGTTTTTTATTAGAATACATGGATTGGACTTTTACATCATGTGTGTCACGAACATGACTGGGTTGGAGGCAGATGTGCGCATGATGAGTTAGAAGACGATACATTCTCATGGTTTGACCGCAGGGATAAAGACTTTGAAGCACTTCAAAAGATTATTCTGGAACCTCAACTCCTTGCAAGTTTCAAATTTTATGTCAGATTCAGGTAAACTGAAGTGAAATGGACAGTGTTTGATGTAGAATCCAGTAATGTCAGTGATATATTAGGAAAGTAATGTTGATACATCCAATACAAGATGGAGTCTTCTTATCAATGTAACTGACAAAGAAATTGGTAAATATACGGTGAATGTTCAGTTAACGTAAGAAACTCGGATGAAGACCATTGGTTTTGTTCTGTGAAAATTGGAAATGTTGTTGACCCAAGGTGACATGGAATAGGAAATAACCATCTACAAAAGTCATTTCTAATCAAATTATCTGGTTATCAGCTACATGTGCATGTTGCTTTGGATTTATTTTTTTTGGAGAAATTAACAATCTTACCCTGGCATGTGCATCAAAAAGATGTTCATACAGGTTTGTTACACATATGTTGAACTTCTTTCTAAATAAATGATGCCATTCTACATTCAATTCTTTTGGCACATTCATTTAATTTGCAGTGATAAGCACATTCCTGTTGGTTCAAACATTTGGGACATTAATGACAATATCATCCTGAACCAATGAAAATACAGAATATTTCGGAGACAGTTTAGTGATGTTACAGAATGTTAAAAAAACAAACAAACAAACAAGAAAAAACGGATAATTTAAATGCACAGTTCTGCTCATGAAACATCTTAATTTTGACTGCTTATGCATTGCCCATAACATACTAAAACCTATCAAAGTAATAATATATTGTAATTTCAAAGACTGACGGAACAATATTTAGTTACAAAGTATACAAGGCCCGGAAACAACTTGCAGCCATAGACTGGAATTTTCATTGAACCAAGAACCAGCGGCGGGGCTAAAGTGCAGGTCACAGGTTACAGGCGACAGGTCAGGTCACAGGCCAGGTTACAGACCACAGGTTACAGGCCACAGGTCACAGGTCACACACAAAAACAATAGGACACTGGACAAAACTGTTCTGGAGTGACGTTTTACTATACAAAAATAAAATAAGCCAAGGAACCTTGATGATATTTTTCTTCTTTAAACAATATTAAATTCCACACATGGAATAATATTTTCATGCTGATCATACGGCATATCCAAACTTCGTAACGAAATCACAAAGGTGTGCAAAATCATGTGATTTGTACGAAAAACAAATCACATGTTTTTCACTGAAAACGAAGTGTTGTCGTGTTATTAGGATGTCATCTCCAAATAAACCGTGCGGCCAAGATAACTTGGAGCGAGTCATTGAAATGCAGCACTGTAATCCTTTGATACATCAGCAGTTTACAGAGTCAAAGATTCAACTTGTAATGGTGGAATGCTCCCACCTAAGGCCTACGAGGCAAATCCAACAGAGGTTTTTCAAGCTGTTGTGCAACAGAACGTGAGAAAATGGCAAGCTCTTGGAAGAAGAGCCGAGAAATATGGTCCAGCAACTAAAAAAGGCCCAAAAAGCAGTGCCTGAAGTTCTTAGCCGACTACACTTTAACAAAGCAGTATTTTTTGACTGGTACGAAGCGCGAGCAACAGGCCGCCATCTTCAAAAGAGATGGAAGACCGATCTAGTGGCAAGAAGAGGTTAGGACGAGGACAGTCTGAAGAAAGTTGCCGTATTTCAGTGGTCAAATAAGTTTTAGACTGTCCTTAAGTTTTTCTTCCTTTTTCCCGTCGAATGCTTTTCAAAACATCCACAAACACATCATGCTATTCTTAACGCAACAACCCGTCGTTTTGAGATTCGTTTTTTCTAACAAATCACGTGATTTTGCGTACCTTTGTGATTTTGTTACCAACTTTGGTTACGCTGTAACGCAAGTCCTCCTTGCGTGATCAACATGAATATATTTTTTCATGT